GGGTCGGAGCAGCAGATTGCCCCCTCAGTCCCCCTCAGGATCAAGTCTCCCATGACAAACACTTTGTGTTTTGTCTTGGGGAGAATGGGGGCAGTAGCTACAGTTGAGCCTGTGTTGCCTGCGGGAGCTGGCAACTTGGCGGGCTGTGCTGGGGCTGCAAGAGGTTTGTACCCATTGCTGAGCTCCAGTGGGGCAGGAGCCTTGGTCCCATCTTTCTATTCTTCCTTTCATTCTATTCAATACACTTTTCATAAGTGCAACACTATAAATACTGACATTTAGCAGGCAAGTTTGTGCACCTGCCTGAAAAATCACAGGGAACCCCTGAGGTTTAGTAGGTATGGCAGTTACTGTTTTTGGCTTGGGCTTGGGCTTCTGACAAAGGACCATTTCCCAAAGAAGACAGATTCATAGATTACATGAAAGGGGTAGAACCCTGGCCTAATCACCTTCCTCCCTACTGACATTTGGTGCAGTCCAGATGTACTATGCATAATCCATTGCATCACCCTAAAAGACATACCCTGTGCTGCTTTTTTAGCTTCCCTGACTACCCCCACTTTAACTTCCCCAATGCAAGCCACCACCTAAAGGCCATGATAGATGTTACACATTACAACCCAATAATGTTTACAACACATAACATGATACATGTGGATGGGATTATATCTCATTTAGCTACCATTTAGTTATTATCATCACTGTATGAAAACTAAAGCTCAATGGTTATAGTTTAACTGAACCAAATGTAGTTGAACCAGGTTCTGCAACTGCTTTTGTAACATCTGTCACACAAATGAATGATATTATTTGCCCCAATGGAGTTCCAGTGGTGTCACAATAGGTTCAAATGGAAGAAGATTCAGGCCTTTGGTATTTTACAGATACAAAACAAGATAGTAACTTACATCTTCTAAAAGACAGCCATCAATACAACACCACACAGGGTGTGTCTACACGTTCATTTACTGCACAGTGTGTGCAGGAAGTGGTGTTTAGACTGGTGTCTACATGTGCAAGCATTAAAGTGCAGTAACACTGTGTGTGTGTGTGTGTGTGTGTGTGGAGTAAGGCCTCTAAACATACATTACTGTGCAGTAACTAATCAGGCATAAATTTGATATCTGCATGATGCAGGTTGCTGCGCATTAAATGTGCACATGTAGACATGCCCACAGAAGACAGAGCACAGGTCCCATTACTAAATATAAGGATTAATGAAGCTTTGATTATTATGGTTTCCCATAGCTCATTTTTAAGAGAGCTTCCAAATCTTATCAAGAAGCCCCCTTTTCATGAAACCTGTTGCCTTCTATCCATAACATTTCCCAGTTGAAAGGTCCCTCACATAGTTCTGCAATTAGTAACTGCTCAGCAAAGACTCATTCTTGATGCCTATTGACAATATTCCTTCTGTAAAGGAGAAGGAAATCAAGAAGGCTCACACAGGAATCAAGCCTGAGATAGATCTCTTAAAGAAAGTTTAAGCTGCTTGGCACTGGCAGCTATTATTATTTGGCAGCCAAATGTATAATGCTGCATTTCATGCCCTGGACAAATCTTATCCAGTCTGCTTGTTCAAACTTGTAACCTATGTGAGGTTACCATAGACCAAGGATGGGCAAAATACAGCCCACGGGCCAAATATGGCCCACGAGGCCATTCTATCTGGCCTGTGAGGCCCCCGAAATAATTTAGAGAATTAATATTCATCTGTCTTTGGTTTCTTCAAAAATATCAGGATCCAGGGCAAGTAGGACCCAGGGGAAGCCTGACTCCTGCAACAGCAGCCCCCCCCCCCCCCCCCCCC